ACGCCTTGCGTCCCGCGCACCTGCCTCGCACCAGATCCTCTCCTCTGCGCCCAGATCCCGAACCATCATGCCCCTACGCCCCTGCTGCTGCACCGAACCAGCCCTTGCCGTCTGCTACGCCGAACCCCACGTTGCTTGCACACCTGCACTCTGCGCCAGCAATCATGCCCTCTGCACCGAGTCATGCCCCTGCCTCTGCTCGCTACAGTACATGCCAGAAAATCTTCATCATTATTGATTGACAGAGCAAGGCCTTTTTTCATTATTTATTATTTATTTTATCTTTTATTTGGGTATATATATAGAAAAAAAAATCAGATTGAAGAGGGGGTCGGTATTGATTTTAGGGGGTTGGTTTTGGGTATTGATTTTGGGTCTGTTTGCTGGGAGTCTCGTCTGAGTTTTGAGAGCAGAAGAAGGAAATTCTGAGGAGAAGAGTGGGGGTCTTTTGCTGGTTGATTTTGGAGTTTAGTTTAGAAAGAAGGTCGACTCTGCTCGCTGGAGGTGGGAAAACAAAAGTGTATTCTTGCTTTAGGTAATCTCCTGAACAGAGGGATTTTTGGGAAGGGGTAGTGAAGGAGACGAACGGAGCCTGGTCCCGTGGGTGGGATCCCTCCCTTCCGATCTGGATCTACCTCCACCTAAAAATTTCGCCGTGGGTGTTTCTGTTATTTTCTGTTAATTTTGTTTAGATCTGGGTTTAAGTTTGTATGTGTTTCGTTGGAAAATGAATGAAAAATCGAAAAAAAATTGTTCTGTTTATTTTACCTGATGAATGTGTTTCTTGCTGAAAATGAGAAGTAAAATGATGAACTCTAAATTTCTCTTGAGGTCGTTTGGATTTCGGTTTTTGTTCAAGATTTGATCTATTTTGTGTTTATCTATTTGAAGGATTGTGTTTTTGGGTTGTGTTTTGTTGCAGGTTCGATCCGACCCGACCTAGTCCAGTAAAAAAAACTAAAACAAAAAGCAAAAAAATTTATATAATGTAAATAAAAAGGATTAATTGATTAGGATAATTAATTTAGTTTATGATTAATAAAATTAATTAACTTTAATTAAAATAAATTAATCATTTTTATTGATCTTAATCTAAGATGATTATATTATTTAATTATCTTGATTAAAAAGATTCATAAATATGATTAATTAATTTTAATTAATGATAAATTAATCATTTAATTAAATCAATTATATTAGTTAATTAATTTAAATCCCTAATTTCCTTTAATCTTGCTAAGAGTAAAAAATTATCTTTTTTTTTTATTTCAGTTTCACCCAAGGTTTTTTACGATTAAGCAATTTAGTCCACATATTTCAAATCTTTTCAAACCAGTCCTTTATATTTTGAATTTAATCAAATTGGTCCTTTATCTTTTGAATTTAATCAAGTTAGTCCCTTAACTTCTTGTTTATGTTATTGTGCGTGCTTGTTTGTCCATTTTAGTCCAAAAGTTTAAAAGTTGTCACAATTCGGTCCATGTATTTTTCAAGCTTGCTTATTAAGACTCAAACATAAACATAACAAATAAGTTGAATTAAAACCCCAATTTTAAAGTATGCAACCGTGTTTAAATAGAGGATTGTGAGGTGCGCGTTTGCCCTTCCTCACTCCTAACCGAACCTCCGATCTCTGTGCAGACCCGTTTTAGGTGACTTGTCCCACCTTATAATTTGGACGAGTGGCGACTCCCCTTTTTCTTATATATTTCACACTTAATCCCTTTTTAAGTAGTCGTCAACAATAGCCTATACCAATAATTAAAACCAATAACAACAACAATGAGTAATTTTACAACAATTAACATAAAGTTTTAATAATTAAAAATAATAAATGCATATAAATAAATGAATAAAAGCTACTGATGTGTTCACCTGGTGTTCATCTGACATAACTATTACGCCTGCACCAGTGCCAAGATCTAAATCAGTTTTTAGTAGTTCAAAGAACCACTGCCATGACTCAAGACATTTAGACTCCACTACTGCCCAGGCAATTGGAAACATCTGGTTGTTCCCATCCTTCCCAACTGCAGATAGCAGAATTCCCTTACATATTCCCTTCAAGAAACAGCCATCAACACCAAAGAACCTTCTGCACCCATCCTTCCAACCTTGCTTTAGGGAATGCAGACAGACATACATTTTATGGAAAGTTCTAGTATCATTAGAACTTGTTTCAATGGCAGTGACAACAACAGTATTCTCTGGATGGCTATTCCTCAATATTTTGGCGTAGCTCTTCAAGTATTTGTATTCATCAACATAGCTACCCTCTAGTTGTGTCATAACATGCTTCTTTGCCTTTTCTGCCTTGTCAAGTGTGATGTTCACTTTAATTTCAGTCTTGCACCACTTAACAATCTCGCCTGGCTTTGTAAATGGTGCTTCATAAATCATTCCTTTAAAAAGATCTGCTACAACCTTGTAAGTTACAAGCTCATTGTCATAAGATTTGAAGCATCTATGCTCCCCATAGTATGTCTTCACCATAAAACACTCATATCTGCTGTCATAAGATGCAAACAACTCCCCTTTGCACCCTGTTTGGCATCTAAACCTCACCCTAGTACGTTCATTTCTGACCTTTCGTAGTTGAGCTTGCTTTTGTATGGAGTATTTACAAACTGCCCTTCCGAATTGTTGTGCATCTTTGAACCTCATCCCAATATCAAAATATGGGACCTTCCATTTTGGGTTATAGTAGGTTTGACAGACATTTCTGCTAACAACATGATCTGGTTGCACAAGGATGTCATCCTCATCATCTGAATTCCAATGAAATTCCCAAGCACCAAGATCATCACTTTCTGCATAATCAGACAGGCAGTTGCTGCGTGCTATCATCACTGACAGGCAGTTGCTGCATGCTGTCAATTGGATCACCTCTTCTCACCCTATCCCCACCACCTCGTCTGACTTTATGCTGAGTAGCAGATTTCCTTTTTCTACCTCTACTGCATGTTGCAGTTTCTTCTATACCAGCAGCATCTGTCACAGTAGCTTCTTGGACAGTAGCTTGATCAGCTGTGACTATAGGTTGTTGTTGTTGCTGGACAAATGGTTGCTCTTGAGTTACTACAGGTTCTTCAACATGATCATCTTCTTGCTCATTCCTAGTTACAGTTTGCACAGTTGCCTTAGACTTCTTTCTACTACTTCTTGTGGCATTTCTCCTTTTCTTCCTAACCTCCTGAGCCAACTTAGCAATACTAACTTGCTCATCATCAGTTTTGTCACTCCCCAATGACCATGCACTATCATCTGAACTTGTCTCCCAGTCAATAACTGACACATCATCACTACCACTATCGACATCATTACTTTTTTCACTTCCTAAATTACCCTCATCCCCATGCACAGAAACATCACCACCACTATTGTCACCCTCATCTTTGGAAACATCCCCTGTGAGCAATAGTGTACCCTCAACAATCTCAAGTATATTGATGTCATGGTCTACATACAACTCCACATTGCCAGCATATGAAATTATATCATTCATCTCCCTAATTGCACTGTCTGAATTACAAGAAACTAATCCTTCTGGTATATCCATACAAGGTTGCATATAGTAAATGTCTTTAATTGAAACTCGATCATAACCTTGTCTAACAACATAGTCAATAATCATAAATGAATTCAACCTATTCGTATCACATGGAACATCCTCTCGTACACCCCCTACATATCTAAATGGTGGTCCCTGTACAAAACGCCCACCATAATTGAACCATACAATACCTCCACTTGGGTCCCTCATTACTGTACAACAAATAAATTAATATCATTAAGGCATTACTTCATTAATTAAACTAACATAATAAGACAACACAAAGCACACTGATGGTGGGACACAATCGGTGGGACACAAAAGAATAACATTCTTCAAGAAAATACAAAAATCCATAAAGAATGTACAAAAATCCATAAAGAATGATAGAAAAATGAAACTTATTGACAGCATAAAGGCACTCACCAAACTTTTCTGTCCTTTTCGTGCCCTTAATCGTGCCCTTTTTCCCTGACAATGGTCCCCTCTGATCAAAGACTTTTACGAACTAATCTAAAACAAGAAGTTCTAATTTTCCTTTTCTTTTCAGACTCCTCACTAACATAGATTCCCTTCGATCACACCAAATCGATGGGTTTCTGGATTGGGTTTTTTTCTTAAGACTGAGAAGAAAAGGTGGTTTTTGCATATCTGTTTTGAGATCTTTGGGTTTTTAGGTTTTGTTTTTTTTTTTCGGTGGGACGCAGGGACAAGTGAGAAAAGTCCCGCACAGTGGACCCCACTGCACACATGGACACCACATAATTAAAAAGCAAATCCACATATGAACCTAATGAATAAGAAAACGCCACATGTGCCACGTCAATTTATGGGTGCCACGTAGTGCATTTTTTAACGGTGCCGTGACGACTCGTTAAAATATTGGGTTTTTCACGGGTTTTGAAAAGTGGAGGGTGTGAATAGGGAGGAAAAATTCTGGAAGGTGTTGACTGCGAAAAAAAAATAAATGGAGGGTGCAAATAGGGGCTTTGGCCTAGATCCTATGTTCTCTGAAATAGGATAAATTCAAAAACTAGAAATGGTCACGAAAATAGAGTTACCCAAAGAATGGGAAATAGACAATAGTGAAAAACCACTCCTAATAGGAGAGAAAGAAATGCCTAGACTAATGGCATATGAGTTAGGAAAGCTATTAGTCAAAACTGAACCTAAACCAAGCCATAGAAATAGTATAGACTTAGGAGCTATATGCTATCCTAAGAAAGTGTAATACCCCAAAATTTCTAGAGCGTTAAAGTGTGAATTATGGACCTAATTGTGAAGAAATACTATTAATGAACTTAATGGCAAAAATTTTCAAAGTTCAGGGACGAAAAAGAAAGGAAATTAGGATAAGAATCAGCTGATATTTTCATTCCTTTCTTCCCAGCCATACACGTTTCTGCTCTGCTCTTCTTCTTCGTGCAGCCCGACAAGCCCCCCCCAAAGCCACCGACTTCCTCTTCCTTTGAAAACCGAAAAAGGGGCTTGAAATTCTCCTTCTTTCTTGTTCAATAACAAGATTTAGGACCTAGAACACTCTCCTAAACCCAGAAAATCCCAGATCTGCGCTGTTCTTCCCCTTGCTGTCCGTCGGCCTCTGCTATCCGTGATTTCTGGTCTTTTTCTGGTAAGATTCAAGCATGAATCCCTCTCTTTAACCTTGAATTAGGTTGGGTTTACCCTAATTTCCTCTTGTTCCTTCAATTTTGGTAGCTCCCGTGACATCCCTTCCCCTCTCCCGATCTCTGCCAAGCTCGCCAGATCCGGCTTCTATTGCTGGAAATATTCTGGTAAGTTAACAACCCTCCAAGCTTGAAACTTCATTAGTTAATTACTGCCTTGTGTTGTTGAATTTTATCAATTTGTTGCTGCCCTGTGTTGTCCGAAAACCCTCTGTGTACTGTCTGAATTTCTGCAGAAAAATGGAAGAATTTGGTAGCATAAAATGGGTTTTGGGTTGCTAATTCGTGTAGAATTTTGTGTAGTTGTCCCGGGAATCATCTTTGCTGTTTGAAGTTGTTTTTATGCCATTTTAGTTATCCTGGAGAAATTGTTCTGATTGATTGCTGGTAGATGGAAATTGTGGCAACGAAAATTATGAAAATTTCCTTGATTAGCTACTGCTTTGTCAAAGATGGAAAAATTGAATAAAAGCCATACTCTTCATTGTTTGCCCGTGAGTCTGGGAAGCTATAAATATATGTAAATGTGTGTGTTAATTGTTATATGTATATGTATACCCAATCCGGATTAATGTTAAAATTCGGAAAGAAGAAAAGAATAAATAAATAAATGAATATTGTATTTTGAGGCTTTGCCGGCAATGATAAAGTGGATGAATTGCTTAGTTCTATATGAGAAAAAAATTAAAGGTGTTTGGTCATGAGAGATTGATATAAATTGCGATGTTGTGTTAATACTCTAGTGAGGTCTGAACATGTTTATTTGGAACACTAGGTGCTGTTGTGGCTTAGAACTCTGGGGTCGAGTTTCCTGTTTATGCCAAGTGAGGTAAGTAATTTATGGTAATGCCCGTACTGTTTTAAAAGCATGTTTTGATTTGTTTTTGAAGTGGTGGCGGGACTAAACCCGTTTTACACAAGCATGACTGATTTGAAGTGAAATGTTTTGTGCTTTTCATGAAATTGAGCATGCCTACTTGAAATTTGAGTGACTGTCTTGGTGATCTGAAAGTGATTGTGAATCGTGATTTTCCTGTTAACTTCTGCCTGTTTTGTCTCCAATGTGGTCATGTTATTCGTGTGCCCGCTAGTGGGAGGTTTATAAACGCTAGCACATGTCGACATGTTATTGATAGAACCGGTTCGCTCGTGGCCCTACTAGTGGGGATTATACACTAGTACTCGTGTGACCGCCAGTGGGAGGTTTATAAACGCTGGCCATGACCTATAGAGGAGACGTCTATTTCGTGCCCGTACTGTATCCGTTTTTCGTGATTGCACATGTTGGCATGCTATAAGTTTAATTAAGGGCAATCCATATTTTACTTATTGAGTTATCTCACCTCGTTTTTCTCGTCCACCATTTCAGGTAGTGTGCCCCGAGACTCGGAAATCAAGGGGAGTGACGTGATAAAAGGCTAGCCACTTGAGATTTGACATAGATTTTAGATACATGTACACCACGCTCTTGTAAGTTAGATTTTAAATTGGAAATTTTATGGTATCAAAACTGATTTTGTTCAGTAAGTTCTGAGCCTTGTGCATTTGTGGGACCCGTCTCACGAGTGCACGGCGTCTGCCACGTCCCCGGATTTGGGTTCTGGGGCGTGGCAGAAAGATAAAGAGGTCTTAACTAGAGCAACTAGTATCAAACATGAGGTGGTATTAGACACTTTAAAAATCCCTTCTAAACATTTCAAAATAGAAGGAGATTATTATGATGGGAAAGAATGTTATAACATTTCTACCCTAATAGATACAGAAGCGAGAGTAACACATATCCATAATGATATGATTCCACACCTACCAAGATTTGAACTCACTAAGCCATACATATACTACAACTTTAATGCTGCAATTACTACAGTACATGAATATGTTAAAGTAGCTCTTTAAATAAAGGATAAGAATCAGATACAACATGAAATCACTATAACAGCTCATGCTGAAACAGAAATGACTGCAAGTATAGAATTAATTAATGCTAGGAAATACCTTCCTAACATTAGTATAGCCCTATAATATCCAAGAACATTGTTTGAAGATTACCTTAAGTGGAAAATAAGTGGTTATAGCTCGATACTAAAAAGACTAGTATTTGTAGTGTATACATATCCATTAGAATCAAATATGAAGAGTACAAAACAGAATTCTTTCATCTTTTTATAGATACAGGGTCTGGGATATGTCTAGCCTAAAACAATGTATTCCCAAAATATTATTGGAGGAACACCTCTTAAACTATGAAAAGTGTAACTATAGATGAAAGTATTATTCAATATAAAACAATAATAGAAAGAGTTAATGCTATAATTGGTGGAACTAAAGTTATAATTCCCCGAGTCTATGAAAGTAACGAGCATGGGGATGATATTCTATCAGGAAACAATATCCTAAGTCAATTCAAGCAATATGTTCAAACTGCATCATATGCAAGAAACATCGAATATTACTTTCTGAAAAGAAAGCAGAAATAGGAAAAACCAAAATTAAATTCTTTAGATGAACAATAGATTTCACAAAAATAGAATTACAACCTCACATTAGTGAAAAGATTTCGATGTTCATAGATAAATTAGAACCTAAAGAACAAATTCAAAGGTTTTTAGGAATACTCAATTATGCAGAACAATTTATTCAAAACCTAACTCAAGTAAGACATCCTTTGCAAAAGTTGCTCAGGAAAAAGGAAAAATCAACAATGGGAAATTTATCACACTAATCATATGAAAAGAATAAAAGAATATTGCAAAAACCTTTCTAGGATACAATTGCCTAAAGAAGATGAAGAGTTAATTTTAGAATGTGATGCCTTAGATTTTTTTTGGGAAGCAACTTTAAAAGATTCTTAAGAAAAAGTTTGTAGATATGCTAGTGTTACACTTAAAGATATAGAAACTAGATATCATTCAAATCATAAAGAATTATTGGCTATTAAAAATGGAATAAAAAAGTTCAGTTTCTTCTTATTACCAAAACATTTTAATGTCAAAACTGACAATAGTTAAAGGATTTATTTTTAATAAATTACCCTTAACACTAGAATATAAAAAATTAAATAGATGACAAACTTTCTTTGCTAAATACAATTTTGAAATTGAACATGTCAAAGGAACTAATAATTATCTTGCAGATTTCTTGAGTAAAGAATGAGCTAATGGATGCAATCTTGAAGCTCCAAAATAAAGGGAAAGACCTTATTCTCAAAGGTCAAGAGACACTCATTGAAGGCAATAGCCAAATAAGAGATGGCCAAGAAAAAATGATTGAAGGCCAAAAAATAATTGATGAAAGCCATAACCTTATGGATGAAGACCAAGAAAAAATTATTAAAGGCCATGAATTATTAAATAAGGGGCAAGATGCCCTTGAAGAGGTCAAAGAGCTAATAGAAAAATTACTGAGTTCCAGCGTAATTACTACTGTCGGAATCAACTCTAAAGATGCTAGCCAGATGGTAAAGAAAAGCTCCCAACAAGAGCTAAAAGAAAAATTTGAACAAGGTGATCCTTTAGTAGGGTTACTTGGAGAAAGCTCAGGGAAGTTTGACTATTATGTCCAATACTCTTCCTCAGAAATATCAACATCTCAAGTTAAAAAAACTGGTTATTCAAAATGTTGAAAGCCATAACTTTCGACCTGATTACTTAGGAAAAAGAGAAAAGAAAGTTACAATAATAAACACCTTGTAAAAAATGACAATGAGTGAAGAATATTTGTAGGAATACCGCAGAGTTTGCAAAATGGCATATTCAATGAGGTCTACTGAGAATTGCCATCCTATCCATGAAGGGATTTATCCCATAATTAATTTCATGTAGGGTGCAAACCCAAAAGCAATAAAAGAATTATTTGATTACGGTTTTGTAAACTGTATTTATCTCTCAAAGGATAATGAAGAAGTTTCAGAACTTCCAGAATTTATACGCCAATGAGTCCAATGAGTGAAAGACTTCAAAACTAGCACCAAAGCTCAAGGGGTAGTATTTGTCAAAATCTACTCTGCAGCACCAAAATGGGAGAAATCTCAATATTTCCCCAATCATTATATAGTTCAAGTTGGAATCCAATCCAAAAAATCAAGGTAGAAGCGAATGAAGATCAAAATTTTCAAGATTTTGAAAAGTCTCTTTATGGGATCGAATTCATCTAAGAGAGACAAGCTCTAGGATTCAAGGTTTTACTCTAGACCTTTGATAGAATGACAGAAATGAGGA